TGTGTGTGTGTGTGTGTGTTTGTTTTAAGAGAGAAACACACACACACACACACACACACACACACACACAGAGGGGATGGACAAACACGAGTAAACATGTGCGTGTGTGTTTGTTTGTGTGTTTGTGTGTGTGTGTGTGTGTGTGTGTGTGTGTGTGCGCGCGTGTGTGTTTGTGTGTGTGTGTTTTTTTCCTCTTGACCTATATTGTACCGTATATTAATATACAAATGTATTATTCGTCTGTTTGTACGTGCACCTTGGGGCTGATGGGAAAGGGGGGGAGAAGAGGTGGTGGCGGTAGGCGGTAGGCGTACTTTATTTATTTCTCTTTATCACCAGTTTAAAAATAACCTGTTTCTATAGGAGTTGTTTTCACTGCAAGACGTCGTGACTTGAGAAACACAGAACTTCAGAAATATCTAATACGCATGTAGTATTCTGCTTTCGTTTGCAAGAGGTTGAGTTTGCCTTCCGATATTTCGCTATTCACGAGGAAACAAAGGCATTCTACTGTGAAAGGAACCAATGAACGAGAGGCCTCGTAATAGTAATATTGTGTAATTCATACAGTTATTTAATTGAAATTGTAGTTGTTTTACACCCCTGTCGACACTAAACGTGTTGCTGACTTTAAAAAAAGGAATTCCTAAACGTATCTTCGGTTGAAATGTCGCCTTCCAGATACTTTTTTGACAGTTTCTGCGTTTTGCGGAATTTTAACCCTATCCGTACGCCCTGGGGTCATTTTGTACCTCCACGGTTGTATTCTTCCCATTTTAGAATACTTTTACTAGTACGAAGATCTCTTTGAAATTTCCAGTATTTCTCAAAAAAATAATTTTGACAGACTGCTGTGCAAAGCGTACGGATCGGAGCAACGAGTAAATTTCCTCTTTGGAAAGTAGTAGCACAGGGTTCATCCACGTCGTATGGATACGATAGTAAAATACGACGTACGGATAGGGTTAAGCATGGTTCAGCTGCAGAAACAGACGGTCAAAAATACTGACCAATACACAAGTTTTGGGGCAAGGAAAATAGATGTTTATATCTTTTCTCGCCCTTCACGTCATGTGTTTTATCCGAGTCAAACGCTGCCTCCAACGCAAATAATGATGTCTACATAGTAGACTCAATGTGCAACGACTCGATGGAGTCAGGAGCTCGTCAGTTTTTGGACGTGTCGAGTTATTGATTTCATCTGAAAGCTGATTCATTTGCCTTGCATCCCATGAAATAAATATCCAATAATTTGAATTATTTTAAATAGAAGTCAAGATAATTGCGATTGAAGGAGATGAGGTCGCCTGACTTTAGTGGAGAAATTAGCGAGAAAATGGCCGCCTAAGTTTGGTAACTCCAATAGCCAATGAGTCCTTGAAAATTGAAAAATGACATGTTTTGTGCCTTTAATCAATGTTTTTTAAAGTAAAATTCACATGAGAATCTGTTTTCTTATGGACATAAAAAGGAAGAGCCAAAAAACGAAAATACGATAAGAATTTCCAAACTTGTGGGAAACTGCCAGTTTCTCAGATTTCGTTATTTTGACGAGTGCCTGATTTCACCATGTTGCGCCACCACATATGAATCTAAATGATGCGTAGTGAGCATAATATACTGGTGATACAAACAAGTAGACTATGCACTTTACAAGCATATTATTAATAACGTCAAAAGCCTAATAAATTATGTTCCAAACCATCCTCAGCTACCATGGAAGCTTTCACTAAAAAAAGGAACAATAAATACATTATAAGAAATAATTGTAGAAGTTTAACCCTTTCATTGACATCTAAATCATTTAGGAGACAGGCTGCTTCAACCCTGCCTGTCAGGGCCAATCTGGGCGGAGAGGAATGCAACATCCCAGAAGAAAGATGAAGATACTTCATAAAAATTCTCGCCACATCAGAATTGAACTCATGTCTCCTGCGTACCACAGTAAAATAAAGCATCTAAACCCTACACCACAGATGCTGGTAAATATTCACTGCAAACTACTTATTTATTTTTTTATTTTGGTAAGTGTTTTACAGCGCTCGCAACTGCATTAGGTCATATGAGCATTTTGCCCGAGTGGCGGGGCGGCCGAAGCCTACTCTAATTGATTTTAGATCACCAAGGGATCTTTAACGTGCGCAAGTTGCACACAGGTCCTCCGAGATTTTTCGCATTTGTCCGAGAAGGCTAGGTGTAGATCTTTCCTACTCCTACCAGAAGATCAGGGGTGTGGCAGAAAGATAGCAGTAAGGAGCCAAGGAGAGGCAGTAGAAAGGCTGCAGAAAGAGTCAGGAGCCAGAGGAGGGGGTAGAAAGAGGAGACGAAAGCAGACGACAGAACATTGTTAGAGAGAAGGAAAGGAGGTGAGAGAAGACCATTTTAGAGAAAAAAAATGTTCGGTCGCTACCCAGATTCGAACCCAGGACCTTTGAATAAACTACTAGATCTACTTAACAGGTGCTCTAAACTACATACTGACTCAGCGCGGTACCCATTCTCACCAGGATGAAGTGTGGAAAATTTGTGAAAAGGGCCTTTCTTAAAGACGAGTCGGCCCAGAATGGGATTCGAACTCGCAACCATCGAAAGTCCATCAGATTAACGACCAGACTATCAACACCACAAATGCCTCCTCTTGTGTTCAGTAAGATTTGCTGAAGAGAATACAAGTACCCTAAATTCAGTGTCAATACAAATCATTATTCATACTACTCATTAACCTTATTTCTGTACAGTATTAGCAGTGTCATCACAAAAAGGTAATAAATAGACTACCCAGCAGGGTCCTAATGAACAACAACACGAATTCACACTTGCAAGATAAAGAAAAGGCCAGTAACATCATTTTTATTGCACTTCAAAACAATTGTATTTTTATTGTACAAAACATTTGGATTTCATGACCAAACACGAAAGCCAGAAGCAACAACGGGAAAAAAAAAGCAAGCAAACAGAAAGAAACTATCGTTCAGACCCCAGTTTCACTTTCGCACTCCCATGCAACAGTAAAGAAAACATTCTGAACATACATGAAGCCTTGACAAACTGCTAGACAAACTTTCCAGAAAAGAAGAAAAGATCTGAAAATTCCTCTTCTACCACTGTCAGGGTGCAATATTTTATCTGATCTAATGGACTATTATGAACTTCAGTAACTTTTTACAAATGGATGGAAAACAATCATGCTTGTGAAAATTTAAAATAGAACCAAACGATCACTATCCCCGAAAAAAAGTGAGGATCATACTGTGATTCCAATCCTTGGAAAAACTGCATCCAATTGTAATAAAATGTTTTAAAATTAGTCAGCTTTCGGCCTGAATAAAAACAACAAGACATCGCGTCGACCATAACAGATGGTTGCTCCAGCACAGGCTAAGAGACAAAAAGCTTCTTATCCTGCAGATGTCACCTTTCGACTCTTGACTACGGAGACAGTCAGATATGGCCCATGCCATCACTGCGGGAGACACCATACACCTCACAAATGCACACATCCCTAGCCCTCTCATAGCACCGTATGGCTGTTGGCACTTTGAAGGGGGGGAGAGAGAGAGAGAGAGAGAGGAGAGAGAGAGAGAGAGAGAGAGAGAGAGAGAGAGGGGGGGGGGAAGGAAGGATATACAGTGGAGTCAGCTTAAACCAAACACGGACAATCTGAAAGCATCAGTATACCGAAAGAAAGTAGAATCCTCGATTTTTTTCTTCACTATTAGTGCCATCTCTCTGAATTGAAAACACGGCTCACCCAAAGAAAATTCAGCTGTCCTGCATAACTCGGTTGATTAACTTTTAAGCAGACTCCGACTAGATAGAACAGATGCTACATCTGATCACTTCATAAGAGATGATACATTAATCCAGAGAGCAGTCTCCCACACTCAGTCTCGTGAGCCCATAATGCAGCAAGTGAAATAAACTGACTCAATCAGGTGCACAAATGGGAGTCAAAAATAAACAATACATTGCCCTCAAAAGGCTATGTTATATGTACATAGTGTTCTTTTAAAGCTGCATACATTTATTAACAGTACACGTTACTTCTCATTAATGTTTGAAATATATATATATATATATATATATATATATATATATGCAATACAGAAGAGTCTTCTTAATCTGAAATCTGCAGGACAGCCGAATTTTCTTCTGTTTTGAGAGGTTCTCAAAAAGAAAGAAAAAAAATTGGGGATTTTATTTTTTTAAAGTCTACAGCTGTTCCAGACTAACCATGCTCTGTTTAATTAAGCTCATTCCACTGTATACAAATATTTAATAGCAAAAGTCTACCTTACTTTTACAGTCAATACTAGAAAATAATTTTCAGCAACATCAGACCCAACTGATTTGACAGCAAGATATAACAATAACATAAATAGCACTACAGAAGTCTGAATCAAGTATCTGTATTAACTCTTATCATTCCCACTACAGAGCAAAGTGTCTGCTTTAGAAATGACCTTCCTATCTGGAATGGGCACACACACACACACAAAAAACCTCTCGCAAGACCAGACAACTCAGCTTTTAAGTACATATTCTTTGTGGTTTTACTAAAACAACTTCTTCCAAGTAAAAATTTGACTTCACGAAAGCCGTCATTCTCAGAACCAATTTTGCAACAAAGGGTGACATCGCAATCTCTCAGAAAGCACAAAGTACACTCTCACCGCCACATACACTTCATCAAGTACAGTAAGGAGCCCTGCATAAAATAAAAAAATATTCACTTTTTCTTCCCCCCCCCCCCCCCCCCAAAGGCATATAAACCACTGACACTATAGATTTAACTTGGTATTATCATTTACAGCGGAGACTAAACTTTTATTTTTTTAAATTTCCAAAAGGGAACTGTGGCGTTAAATGGCTGAGTCATAATGACACACGACATTCACAAAGTGATAAGTATAAGTAGCAGAGCATTAGCCGGCAAACACCTGTGCTAAAAAAAAGTAAAGTTGTTCCCGCATCCGATCCGAACATTGGGGATTGCCTTGTTAGTGAGACAATTTCCTGTACCTTTCGCATATTGTGGTAGGGTGGCCAGTTCCTTTCCATGTCACTTTTACTTCCCCAGCTCAAAGCCAGGTACCCATTACTGCTGGGTGGGCAGGAAGGGGCGAAAAAATCTGTGTCTGAACCGAGGCTCGAGTCCGGACTTTTCGCTTCGGAGACGAAATCAGCAAAGTTTTTAATAACAAATTTATTCTGCAGTCTTGAAAACACTGCTTAACTTGAACAGTCGGAACAAAAGGCAGCAATTCATTTACTCACAAATAATATTATTGAACACTTTTCAAGTTAGTTGATATCAAATAACTTTACATACATACTACATGACACAGACGGACTAGAGAGCATGAAGACGACTACATACTTTTCAAAGGAAGAGTCAAAGGACTAGTCGTAAGGAATTCCAAAGACATGCAGAACTCCCACTCCCACATTAACATACAACCAACGTACTACTATACCCTGCTTGTCCTTGTTCTTCAAAGTGATTCTACAATCCCTCTCAAGCTTGCGATGAAGTCCAATCAGATTAGACTTTTAATGCATTCCTTAAATAAATTAAATGACAAATGAAATGAACACTTGATCCATACTTTTAGTTAACTACCATTTACCATTACTCCAACGGCCAATGAAGCTGGACTCACTGGTGTAAGTTAACACTTTGCCCTCACGAGACACTGATCGGTGCTGGTGTGATATATAGCAAAAAAATGTAGCAACGATCTCCTTTTCCACATGCGCACCTGTTAAAATTATAATTTCTTTTCTGAACGGTTTGTGTGGCCTTTGAGGTAAAAAAATCAGTTCGTTTACAACAATTGGATTATTTTCTTTTTTGGGTAAAAATATCGAGTAGACCTGGCATAAGTGCTGCTTTACACAGAGATCCATGATGAGAAATCAGGTGATGAATGTGCTAGATCTAATGTTTTCAGTTCCGACTCTTAATTCCTTTTGTGGTGAACATGCAATTATCACATCCAATTTTCTCAGTATGCTGAAAATTTCATAATGGTAGGGGTATTTGTGCTGAGATACAGGGAAAGTACTGATGTACCCCACCTACATCATGGTCCCTGCGCACTCCAAGGGGGGAACGTGTTAAGGAGGTTTATGACATTTTGGAAAGATTTAAGGAGGTATATAACATTTAGAAAAATTATTAAAAAGCAAGGCTTTCATTATAGTATTACAACAGAAGTGTGGAGAGAAAATGAACAAACTGCAGCAGCATGGAAAAATCATGGTCTGAAACCAAGAATCTGACCCAAAAATGTTAATGATAGCAAATAGTAACAGAATCCTATTGTATAAAACTGAATGTCATTATCCACTGAGAACAGCCTTAAAATGTAATCCAAATACCTAATGCAATTGCTTAATCAAACCCGTTTTCAACTTTTTACTAAGCTAGACGTATGAACAGGGACAACCAGAAGAGGTCAATCTTTTTATCTAATAATAATTGCATTTATATATAGCGAATATCTACCCTCTGCAGCATGCCCTTTGAGCTTTACAACCATTATCTAGCTCATCTCTGGCTACGTTTAAGTACCAGGATGCCACTTGAGCACTTTGAAGACAAAGCAGCTGACCATTCATACCGTTCAAGGCTCACAAGGATGGGGTACAATCTACTTCCCACAACCGCACCCTTTCTCCACCAGGTGGTGAGGCATAAAAGTTGGAGCCGGTGGAACCAAACTTTGTAGCGAGTTTTGTTTCAAATCAGGGTTTAACAAATAGAGCATTTTCTGCCATTGTCCGATCAAAACCAGCTGAAGGAAAGGAATTTCAAGGTCTGTTTCCAGGATATGAAAGTCTGTCTTCCATGAATTATAGACCAATTTATCATGGTGGCAGGGGGGAGATTCTGTCAAGACAGACTTCAGTCTTGGACAGGGTTCTGGCATAGCAGGCTCAACTGTATTTCTCTTCAAGTTCAATAAGACAGTCGAACTGATTCCTCCCACCCCAAACAAAACAACAACAAAATAAATAAATAACAAAAAACAAAAAGGGTACAGTGGGTTAAATGTTAAATGGTTTGTAAATCGGCTACCAGTTGACAACTCTCCTCCTGTAAAATAACTTGATCCAATCATGTGCACGAAGCCATGAAAGTGAGGATGATATCGTCAAAGTGGTAGAACTAGCAGCTTGGAGTGAGGAGAACAAGTGTCTTTTTCATATTTGCAGTAAGGAGTACAGAATTAATATCATTACTATGACGTAGGTTGAAATTCAAATGAAACATGTCAACAGCATAATAATATAATCAAGTGTCATGAAGGAAACATCACAATTGTACTCGGAGTTAAAAATACGAAACAATCTTTCCTTGAGAAGTCCATTCCACCTTCTGTCCATTATTTTTCAGTCAAACTTTCATGAGTGTTCATCTGCATAATACAAGCGTCTGTCACCATACTTATCTCACAAAATAAAAAGCAGCCATACTAAAGTGCACAGGTGTCTTTTTCACAATCACTAACAGAACATTAATCTCCAGTAATGCACTTCCACACAGAGCAGGCCTACTCTGAAGTGACTCGCACATATAGACCAGCCTCCACAGATCCTGACACTTGCACTGGTTTTGCCTCGTTCACACATAAACTCACACACATTTGAAGGGGTTTTTTTGTTTCTTCTAAAACACCGCACAGTCCAAACACCACTCCCACCAAGTCCTATCATACAGAATGTCAATCACACCAGGATTCAGCCCACTGTCACTGACTGACAGAATCTGACTCCGCCCCCGTAGGTACACTCTGTTGAATCTGAAGCACCTCCCCTGAGTCTGTTGTCATGGTAGCCACCTGGATGCCCTCTGGCAGCATGTCTCCAGGTTGGATTTGCTGCAGGAAAAAAGAGAGAAATGAACTGTGAAGACACAACCAAACTGTGAAGACCAAATGTATAATAAAAAAGACAATTTATTTTTCTTGGAAAATGCTCTGTTACTACTACAAGAACCTATGCACTTATTTTCACGTAAAATAAAAAAAAGTTTTTCTCACTCTCCAAGACACCTTTTCGTGTATTGGTTTATCCACACCTCTTGCAAATGCTCACATGTTTAGCACAAACATACGTATACACCCTTGTGCACTGAACACTTTACAATGCTGCCAGCACTTAAGTGCAAGTTCTTCAGTCTGTGTGCAAAGCTACTAAAATGATTTGTTTTCAGTATTCTTACTGCATTATGCACGTCATTATACAGGGTGTATGTAAAGTTATTTACACAGTCACTCAGGCTATAAGTATAAGCAACTTAGTTCTCGATACCCTGCAATCTCGTCGTCCAAGTGCAAGTAGTTTTCTGCCTGACTGTATTGTAACTTTACAGATATTCTGTATGTCAAATCTCCCTGTGCAGGTCATTAACTCATTCAGAGCTGAGTGAAAACCGATGCACCTCCCTGCTGTGCTGAGCAATTTCTGAGTGAAGCCACTGGTTTGGGGCCTGAGGGTAACTTTTTAACCCAATTCCCCGTGCGTTGCTGCGGCAGTACACTTGTGTCCACCAGGCTTGCCGCGAGCCGGGAGAAAAATGGGTCTGAACTCGACACACTAAGCTTAGACACGCATTGTGCCCAAATTATTAAAGGTATCAATATGAAATTTCGAATAGATTTTACTTAAAATGTTCTTTTAATATATTAATAGAGGGAAAGATGAAGGAAAGAGCACAGAAAACAATATATTCTGTGTCCGACTGCGACTCATTGGCACTCAATTTAGCCATAGCAACTTATAGTAAATCTATGGCCTAGATCTAGCTTTTCTTCGAAGTTTTCAAGGAACTAAAATCAATCCGATCGTCTCGTTTTTCTATATTTAGGTCTACTTTCACTTTCTTCGCCGCTCATGCCTAAAACAAAACTAAAAACATGGTTCAACACACACAAAAATAGCTGTGGCACTGTTGTTTTTTTGTGGCTGTTATTTTCTTCTTCCAGTCCATAAAGATTTTAGTACTTGCTTTCTTGCCATGATTTGCGGTGACAACACAACAAAACTAACTCGTACTTGGCGAAAAACTGGATCAAAACAAGCTTGCAAAAGTTTTTACAAGCTACAAGGGACCAATCATTTTCAATAGAAACCTGGATAAGTGGTTCAAACTGGATTTTGAGGTTCTTGTTCTTGTTTCAGGAAGCAACATCCCTGCACTTCGGACATGTCCATTGATGCTCCGTTGCTCTCTCCAAAATGTTGCCGAGGGTCCTTCTACTGATTGTGCCAGTGCACATCTGGTTGAACGTTCTTCTGTTCTTTCCTGCAAGGATGCCAGATTTTCCGCTTCCTTTTTTTATTCCCAAAAGCATCATCCTCTCCACGGCAGCACTGGCCTCTGCCTTCCTATCTTCCTCCTCAATCAGTTGGCGAGAAAGACATTTCAGGATCTCGACCCTATCTGGTTGAACCGTATTGTCAACTAAGGTGGCCTCACCAGCCAATCTGTCGGCTTTTTCATTTCCCCTAACACCTGCATGGCCAGGGCAGAAAATCCATGTGAGCGATCGTATAGGCGTTGGTTCGATAGCTTGAATCCATTCCGTTCTCAGGAAACCTTTTTCAATCCTTCTGAGGGTACACATGGAATCAGTGATAAGAACAGCATGGGTTGTGTGGGGGCGATCTTGGGTCATCCAATCAAGTGCTTTCGTGATGGCTTCAATTTCCATTCGCATACTTGATGTAGCCCTGCTGCAGGCTCCAGATGCACTGTGTATGATTTTATTGTTGGCGAATGCAACAAATCCCCATCCACTTCTCTGGCTATCTCTTTTCACTGAACCATCTGTATAAATTATAGGATCCCCTGCTTTTGAGTTTGTGTCAACAATCTCGTTGATATCGCTCTCGTTGATGGCAGCCGCAACATTTCTTCTGTCTCTGCCCATGCTTATTTTGACCTTGGTGAGGTCCCTGTATTATCCGGCCACCTACTCCCATTCTTCGCCTAGTGGTAGGCTCTCAGGTACACAGATTGTTCTCAGGGAATCCTCTGCTTCCGCCATCCAAGATTTTCCTCTCTTGATTCTGACTCTCCTGTTGTCATGAAGTGCTTTGTGAAGTGGATGATCCTTCTTGCCCCTTACATTGAGATACATCTTTGCCTGAGCTATCCTATGGCGTACTCTGATGCCACTTAAACCTAGCAAGTAGCGCATGCACAATATTGGAGTGTCCTTGGTACAGCCCAGCACTGCTCTCATTGCCTCATTCTGCACTCGATCAAGCTTTGCGATCTGTGTGTCGGACAGCGTGAGACAGCCCAATCCGTAATCAATGACAGACAGGACGACCAGCTGCAACATCAGGAAGAGCACTCTTTGCGGAATCAGAGCGGCCGCCATGGTCTTGATTGCACCAACACCTCGTTTGGCCTTTGTTACCACATGATTCACATGCTTGTTGAAGGACAAGGATTTTGAGACTCGTATTTTGATACGACTTGTGTCATAGCTCGGTGGACGGAAGAGCGCGGCACCTACGAATATACTCGTAGCTCTGGTGCAATGGGTTCCAAGAGATTACAGTAAAAAAAACCCCAAAAAAACAGCTTCATCTATCATCACAACTTACCCCTATGACCTGGTCCCCAGACAAGATCTGTATGTGCTGGGCATGCTGGAGTTGAGAGATCTGTTCTGGAGTGGCGTGTAGGATTTGTATCTCCCCATGCTGCAGACCTTCACCCTGCATGGCCAGAGCCGCCTGGATGTCTGCCTCTGATGCTTGCTGGTGTAACCATCAATAGTGGGAAGAAACAAGATCAAAGATAAGCAAAAAAGAAGAACAATTTGTTTTAATAAGTTTCCAAGCAAGTTCATTTGATTCGACTCTTCAGAAAAGTGGAAAGTATTTAAAATGACGAGTAGCATTAAGATCCGAACCATTAATAAAGCTGAGTAGCATTTAATGGTGAGCCTGCACAATAATAGCTACACTTTACGAGGACAAGAATAGGACTATAGTAACAAATAACTATAAAAGTAACTGAAAAAAATGCAAGAGTGCCAACAAACCACTTGTCTAGACTTACTGCTTTTACAAGAAGAAAAGGGGACAGGTAGGGGGGGTTATCTGGCCTAACATTCAAAATGTCCAGATAGAAACAAATTCTGACTGTTCATATGGGTTTTTTTTCAGCATTGAAATAAGAGTCTAGCTTTACGCTTATTCGTGTGTTTTGCAGTAAGGCAACAAATGACACATAACCCGTTGCTCACTGACTGAAGCTGGATAAAAATATTTGCCTTGTCATAATGAGTTGAACTAACAGTGCACATCACATCATAAGCACAGCCCTCAAAGTCTAGAGTGTTTATGGGGAATGGGAGGGGGGTGTTCCAAAAAACATATCACAGCGAACCGCATTCTGAAATTTATATATAACAATGCACTCATTTATCGCAGCACTACTAACAAGATTTAAGAATAAATTTCATGTACCCTTTCCAAAACCTCATGCCCCATGCCTGTTTTTGCAATGTAAACATGACTTCCATCCAGTGCTATACAAGAGGAAAAAGACTACACTGATCAGTTACCTTGTTTTATTGCAAACTTAAACCAGACCAAATGGAAGAATTCAGCAGCATTTCATTGTAGCAGTCAAAGCAAACTTTTGTAGAAGTCAAAAGAAAGAGCATAGGAAGAAATCTTGCTCAGATAACAATCAAGAGTCTAGAGTACTGTGGTCTATACAAAACCTTAAACCCTTCAAGTTTAAATGTGGAAGGTTGTGCAACTGTTTGAAATCACTGTGCCAAAACTTAACCACATAAAATAATTTAGCATCTTTCGCTGTAAATTAACACTCCCTCCCCCCCCTCTCCCTTCCACCAGTTAGTAGGAAAAGGAAACGTCACCTGATGAATGTGCAACTCTCCATCCTCTTGACTCATGGAGTCTTCATCACTGCCTCCACTCAGATCCCCCATGTGGTTGCCGATGTTGACGTAGGACGGCGGGGCTTTCCCCCTGAAGGCCTTCACAGTGAGAGGCATGCCCCGCGCTCGCCTCCGCCACGCTGTTCGACATTTGGAATCGATATTCTGTTTGATGCGGTGCCAATCGTTCTCTGTGATGCTGAACCGGTGGATCAAGTGACCTGAAATAACAGAAAAGATCAACAAGGGCTCTTCTTCCTTCTGCGCTCCCCTGGTGCTAGATCTTAGAGAAAGTCAAGTGTTTGGTAAAAACCCTCAGAACGACTGTGGTGTCCATATGTGTGGTCTATTTCCCTACAAGAACAAGAAGCCATGTCATCTTTTTAAAAAGTGTGTATCAGTAAGTTGGCATACATTTGGGGGGGGGGGGGGGATTTATTTAGAATTTTCCCCTGGAAGTCGCCAGCCGCAGGCGCTGGCCTTATCTACAACTTTAGACACAAAAGGAGTCTGTAAGAGGAATAAAATGCGTGCAGGACCTTCATATCTTTTGTCTAACTCCTACCTACCCAGAGATAAGGTGCACCAAAACTTCTTCTGAAACAAAAAAAACTCAAACCGTCTCCTGACCATGCCCAGACAATCACGTAAACAAATCAGAAACTTTAGCATGAGCAGCAGCATTACCTTATCAAAAGACCAATGATTTACTGCCAGAACTTAATGTCTCAAAGACTAGGTGAGGCCAATGGATGAACACAGTCAAGGACAAAAGGTGAGATTATTTGTAAATACCATATATTTTATTTTGATCATTCATGATTGGTAAATATGGTGAAATCATGTTGAAAGGATGAGAATAAACAGATGCCACCTAAAGCATGTCGAACTATTCTACTATTAGACTGCCCATTCTTCTTGTTCCCAACAATATTTTAAAAACCTGAATTGTTCAGCAAGTTATAAAGCTTCTCCGCTCAAACAGCACCCGTGGAGAACAGGCCTTATATCTACCACCATAGTTATTATTTTCTGTATTGACTGGCTCAAATAATAAGAGCGAAAGCAACATCTAGTAGCATTTAAAAACTTATTCCAAAAAAATACAAACAAATTTTTTAATCCAAAATGGAAATGAAATCTTAAACTTCATGACAATCTGAGTAGGGAAAACAGTCACATATTATGTAAAAATCAGTTGCTTTGCAGGTTGAAGACCTCTGAGATCTAGAAAGGGAACCCAAATAAAAAGAGGATGATGATAAGCTGAACAAATATAGCAAAAAACAACAACATGACTTAGTCCTAAACACTTACACCTAATTCCATAAATCATAAGAGGGTCTAGTTGTTTCTTTCCATGCTTTCCTTGTCCAGACAGGTTTGAGGCTGCTTGGGTGTCTCGGTCAAACAGGTAATCTAATAACGTCAACGCCATTTTCTCTGGGGTGCGACAATTTGAGTGGACATGGAGGAGATCACTGAGAAAGAAATAGGACAACAAGAAATTGGACAAAATGGCAATGAAACATCATCATGATTAATAGAAGCTGTCAGAATGCTACATCACAAGGGCAAAGACATGACTTGCCTCCTTACTAATGAGGTATCTGCTGCACTGGTAGCCTTGTCATTTTCTTTACTTGTTGTTGCCTCAACACAGAAGTATGTTTTTGTAGAGAAAATAAAGTTCTGAGCATAAATAACTGACAAAATAAGTCCAACACTAACAGTTGTAAGAGGTTAATTTATCTTATATTCAAAGATAAAAAAACTCAAATGTACAAAAATCACCAAAATATAATATATAGATTTCCTATGAAACTTTAGCAAGCATGTTGCACCAAGCAAAAGTGACTTGTTTCCAAATATTCCTTTCCTCTATAGTATTCGCATCATATACGACCAAAGAAATAAATGAAATTATTTTTTTTCAAAAGGCCCAAAGGTGAGCCATGCTGCCCTCGACAGCTGAAGCCCTTCTCAAAATTGGCACAAGACAAAATATGATCTGAAGGGCCCAAAAGTCTAACAATAGTAACAAGTGACAATTTCAACTGTTTAGTTTGGGCTTCAATGTTTCCATTTTGTGGACAAGGATGCAAATCACGTAGAGATTTGGAAAACTTTTCCTACTTGTGTTGTTTCTTTAAGGCAGCATTCTATGCATGGTTCAGCCATAGTGGGTGGGAGGGGGGGGGAGATTATTATTCTTTCTTCCAACTCTTTTACAAAGCAATGAGCTCCAGCTCCTACACTCCGTTGCCAAAAAACATGGAAAAATGCAGAGCGCATCAATGACACAATACAGATTGAAATTCAACCCCCGGAAGTGACTTTATGAGATCATAACAATACCAGTACTAAGCACAGGAGGAGACTTAAGCCTGAAATCATTTACCTTGGAGTGATAGGAACTCGAACTCTCATCTCAGGGTTGTGTTCATCTCCCAGCCAGGTGCCATTAGGGAAGTCCTCTGTTGATGAGTCATAACACAATTAGTCCAGTTGTTATTTTAATAGTAAAGCGAATTACCAATTAAATAAATCTTTAAAGCAAAAAGAATATAGAAAAGAAAGAAAGAATGTTAAAAAATTATTTTTTTAATGTTTAAAAGGGAAGTTTGGGAAATGTACCAAACAGCAATAACACAAAAAGCGATTTACCTTTCAAGACTGAACAAAGGTTGAGAAGGGAAGCAACTCTAGAAAAACAGAACTAAAGTAAACAATTATTTGTAATCGTTTCTATAATCTACATTGAAATTTCTGACAAGGAAAAATAAAAAACACTATATTTCTATATATAGACAGTAGTCTCAAATAATTTTTTAACATTCTTTCTTTCTTTTCTATATTCTTTTTGTTTTAAAGATTTATTTAATTGGTAATTACAGGGTGATAAAAAAAAACTTAATAATTTTTTGTAAATATTTTCCTCCACATTATAGCTTTGCACTTCAAATTTGAACACAATATAATATTTGAAAGTCAAAAGGAATTTGGCTCATATTCTTTTTAGACAATTCTACATAATAGTTTTGCTCAGTATGGCACATAAAACAACAATCTATTTTCAACCTTGCCCCCAATTTCGTTGCACGACGCACAAGTTCTCATTAGGCCTACCACTAAAAGTCTCAAAGATTGCACCATATTGCAAGCTACAGCAGTCTAACAAGCAAACAGAAATTTGTAGATTTTCTTTTCTCAAGTTTCCTTGATCACTGAGAGCATGGTTAAGTTAAGTAAAGAGCAGTGAGAGCTCTTTGTATTGAACATTATCTCACCACCAACTCACCATTCCTGACATTAAGTTTTGCACAAGGCCATGAAAGAATGTTTAAGTGCCCTCAAAACCTCTGATGCCATGGGCTGAGAAGTTTCTCAGTTTGGATCTATAGAGAATCAGAACTAAAGTTTCCTCCAAAAACTATCACTTCAGGTCAAACACACACCATTCACTTTCCTTTAAACATGTAGAATTTAGTTGTCGTATCCCATGAGACATCTGTCCACAGACAATGTCCATAGCTAAGACTTTTCTACACCTCAATGATCTGCATTCTCAAGGCAGAACTTAAACCACCACGGTATCATTTTCATGTTTGTGAGGCTCACATGGATCAGAGAATGGCAGTGTGTTCTGGGTGCTGCAATCATCTTGAAAAGTGCGAACATTTCCTCTTTGACATCGGTTCAATGGCAAAGCCCATTTTCACCTTTCAGAATATAATGTTAACTCCACAAATGCTGTCTATTTGGGCAACCTCAGCCATCCTCCCATTGTCTCTAGAAACGGCTCCATACTGAAACGTGAACAGTGTTTTTGGCTTTAAGTTTCAGCATCCATGACTTGGTGGGACCACGTGTGTTGCTACCACTGAACATTACGAACAACGCCATAAAATGCGTCGGCGAGTCCAAAGTAGGACAATGTAGAGCTCTGGTTCTAGAAATTTCAGAACAAAATAAAATGTTCCCTTTTTAACTTTGTAAGAAAAATTAAATATTGTTTAACTGTTACATTTATCATGATTGATGGAAAAGTTAAATGTAAAAGAAAAAAAGAAGAAAAAAAGCAAGTCAATCATCTCATGACTTTCATGCAACATTTTAAAAAATGGAGCAATATGCATGGCTGTTTTTTTAATAGCCATTTCCATTTTTGAAAATGAATTTCTTCTTTATGGTTTTTATGCATAACAAATTACTTTTGAATGGATTATTGATTATGTCTGTTCCAAATGACAGCATTCTATAGCAATTTTTTAGGGAGATATTCAGAAGAAAAAAAGTTAGAAAGCTTTTCCAGAATCAACCTGTATCATATCAAGCAACGAAGAATTAACAAGTATTCCATAAAGACACAAAAACACACAAATTTGATTTACAACTGGTATAGCTCATATAACTAAATGATCTCAGTCAAACACAATCCCTGAACAAATGGGGAAAAGGGTGATGTTAGCCATTTACCTTCTGTATTGAGAGTGATCAGTGTGACATTGGGGCCGAGGTTGGAGATGGAATGGTCAAGGGGATTCATGTCACCTAGAATGGACAAGGCAATAACACATGAAAAGTCAAAACAAAAAGACGGAATCGTTGATCAACAGTTCAGTGAGCACTATACCAGCTACAGTGCCAATGACCCAGTTTGAATACCCTATTGGAATGTTCTTGAACTTCATTAACTTTTTAAAGCTCATGTATTTTGACAGACTTTGTTCAGAATAAATTTGAGAGGGGGTGAGATTTTTAAAAACCAAACCCATAAAGCTGAACAACATATTGTTGCAGCTACCCAGAAATGTTTGATGTTCTAGAAAAGAAAAATTATAGTTTGTACTAACAAAAACTAGAACTGGGCAATAAGTCAACCGAAACTTTAATGGCCAATAGCAAAATATAGCAGGCCCCAGAAAGGGGAAGTCATAACAAGTTCAAATTTTTAAAAGGATTAACAGTGAAGGATAACTTGCAGAACCTGAAAAGACACAAGATCACACAACAGAGTACAGAACACAGATCGTTTCTGTGCACTCACTGAAACAAACAATTTCTGGCTTGCACAGATGCAAGTATCTACATGGGCTGTTATCAGCAGATATAGAATATAGACTCAATCAGCATAAATGCTATTATTTGTTATGACAGAACAGTGTGCATCAAGCCAACTAACAAATGTGATATATAGTTATATTGATACTTACCAGCCTCTGCCTTTGTCTGCGGAAGACCCACGATGACCGCTCTGCATAATGAAAAAACAAAATAAATGTCAGTCTTATCAAGTGTTTTTTAAGGAAATGTCAAGTTTCTTTCACTTAGAGGAAAGAGTAAGAGATTTTATTGGTCATTGATCTCTCTATTACTCACAGACCTCTTTATGAATGGTGGTCCTGTCTTGTTATGTTACTAGTAGTCGTACATTTCCCCACCTGAATTTGACAGTTGGAAGATGTTGAGAATTATGTACGCATCTTTAAGTCGTACATTTTTTAAAGTCAATTTTCTTTCAAGGTATGAAGACACTAGGGCTTGAAGAATCTGTTGATATTTATTGAATATCATTCCTAGATAAGGTAAAAATGATTTTCAATAAATATCAACAGATTCTTTAAGACCTAGTGTCTCCATACTTTAAAAGGAAATTAACTTTAAAAAACACAATAGTAGCCCCATCACAAATAGCGGATGAACTATCAACTTATATGAAAAGTTGACATCACATTTACAAGGGGAGCATAAACCGTGCAGTAAGGGGGGGAAAAAATTTAATATCCCTGAATTTTGAGAAATGAGAGAAAAAATGGCATATCATTTCTTTGATAACTCAAATCAATATATATGCAATTCTTTGTGGTGAAATAAGGTGCTTGTCAAAAAAACAAAATCAAAGAAACCAGCATTTTTCTAGCCATTGGGCAATTTTTTTCAAATTTTCTTTTTTTGGTCCAAAACCTTTCATGCATTACCAAAAACACATTTGAGAGCATTTTACTGAAAAAACATTGCTCAAAGGCACAATTATATATAGTTTTTAAGGAAACTCATTCATTGGAAATCACCACACTTTGGCAGCAATTTCTCCCTAGTTTTATCTCTGAAATCAGGTGACCCCACCTGTTTCAATGGCAAACATCTGGACTTCTCTTCAAGATAGATGGCTTTTTTTTTTTCATCAAAAGCAAGACAAATGAATAAGCTTTAAGGTAATACCAATAACTCCACATGAGCCTAAAAATTGACGAGCACCTGGTTCCACAGCATAGTGACACATAAATCTTACCCTTTCCTGGAGGCAGTGGATGCAAGCCCTGTGCCACCATTGAGTGTCCGCGACCAGTTGACCAGTTGGTCTACTTTATCCTCCATGGTCTTGGTGCGAGAACTCAACATGTCTAGCTTGGCCTCCATACTGTCCAGTCGCAGGCAGATGGCTTTATTGATACTGAACAGAATTTGCTGAAACAAAATATATGTGAGGCAGCGTGTTGAAATCAGGCGCTGGTCAAAACCGAACAAGCTTACTTAAGGTGATATTAATAACTCTATATATGCCCAAATTTATGAGTGCCTGATTCCTTCGTGACACATTTACGGTTCAGGTTAGAAAATTGCAAACCAATGTGGAAGAGAAAATCTGGGACGGATTTCAATATAAAGAGCCTTGCAATATTTTGAAGAAGACAAACATAGCTTTCCAGAATATTACAAGCAAAGATACATTCAAGATCTGAATTTATTCAACAGAATTTACACGGCACAACCTTGTTAAAATTAAACACAAATTAAAGTCACCTATGCAGTGCTATAAACATAACATGCATGTACACATGTCACAACAGTGTAGTGGACAAAACTGAGAGATTCCCCCACCCCCTCCCCCCAATATCTGTCAAGCATCCCTGCCAGGGTATACTGGTTGCAACTCCTGGTGGTAACAACAAATTTGTAGTCTCTGGCAGCATGATATAAGGACAAAACTGCACCAATGCAAACATGCCTTTAAGTCTTGAAGTTTCTTTTATACCTTCGCCATGCCTTAGACTAGACAATGAATAGACCTGCACTTAACACCACTAGTTTGCACTTCATCAGCAACTAGCACAATAAATACAGCAAATTATTCAGAGGTAAGTAAATAGGTTTATCTTGTCACTCAAAAAAAAGGCAATCAAATGTTTTTCGTTAAAAAGAAAAAAGTGTGATAAATCAGAAAAATAAACTTACTTTAAAGGAATGTTCTGGGTTCAAATCTAGGTCCCCATCGCTGTCAAGTCTCAGCCTCTTCCTGTCTGGATCCACACAATTTTCTGGCAAAAGACCAAAAAAATCTATGTTATAGAACAATAGCTATTTTTAGCGTTTCAAGTTTCAGCACAAAACACAAAAACAGTGATATAATACTGGTTATAATATAAATACAGTAGTCTCCGTCTCAACGTACGGTGCTCGGGAGGACTCCCAAGCGTGTGTTTACGCGGAGCGAGCGTTTACGTGAACCTTTGCAATGGGGGGAAGGCACGCAACTATCTCATTTCTTTGAAATTTTAGTGACCCCCCCTTGGACAAGAGGGGGTGGGGGTCGTAAACGATTCCTCCATCGCGGTTTCGGCTACAAAGGTGTTGAATGAGTGACTGAAGAAAGTAAAAAGACATACTCACTGTACCACTAACGTGTACTATAGGAATCTGTTCGTTGTAGTCATAATGAGTCAGAGTCAATATTTTAGAGTAAAGTGCTCAGCCACGAGGCTTTCCAAGCTACCACCCCCAGTTGCCTGTAATCTACTGCAACTTAGTAGATGCATGGATGGCATTAGGCACTCTGAGACATTTTTCTCACGTCCCTAGAGATTCGTTGAACAACTAAGTAAAGTTCTTTGAGCAGAGCTGACTAATTTTTAATACTATAGGCTTAGCTACTGTTTGCAACATTCCTGTGTGTTGCGCACCATAGGCATATAAACTAACATTACAGTCATTCAAACATCAGTGATAAACCTTCCCTTAAAGACGCATGATAATTTCGAGTGACCAATCAAAAGATATATTTACATTCCCTAAACATATCACTCGCGCAGTCCGAAATCTGTGAGTCCGTAGAAAGTTGGGTGTGAAAACCCTCTGCACCACTCTCTTTGTTCTGCGAGAGGGGCAGTCTTGTCAAATATCCGGTTTATTACATATTATTTGACGAAAGTGTACATTTGAGAGGAGCGTGCTTTTGTATTGCATGCGTTTTGGTGAAGGCTGCTGTATAGACATAAAATATTTAGCATGACTCTCCTTGAGTATTAACGCCACTATCCTATATTATAACATAAAAAGTGGAGACATATTTTTCTTTCTGGTTCAGATAGAAATAATCAAGGGTAACATTCAACTCATCTTGATGAGAAAAACTGACGACTAATCCAATATTACAGTTAAAAGAGTATACCTGGCATCCCCTGGATAATGGCTGTGGCTCCATCCACATGGACATCTCCAACAGTGGCTAAGCCAGAGACTAGGGAAGAGGCATCGATTGTGACTCCAGCTCCACCCAAGTCCACCAGCTCTCCCTCCTGGCCAGACATCCTGTGGCGGAGAATATTTTAAACAAAACAGTTACCCAAATGGCCGCAGGATCGAAAAAGTAAAAGTAAAGTAAAGAAACAAAAAAGAAAGAAACATAATTTGGGTGGTGCAGGGTTGGGGGGATATCATAAGACTTTCAGGTTCAGTGACACCTTCAGTATGGCAGGTAATCCTTTATTTTTAGCATGTATACATATAAAAAGATAGATGAATCCTCAACACCAAGGCGAGGAGGACAGCCTGAATAAAACATTATATAGAAACAAGTAAGACATTTAACACTTCTCAAAAAACCACAAACATCACAAGAAGAGACAGACAAAGATAATGAAGACATCAGACAAGTACACATGTCAGCGTTAAATCGAGTATGAAATACAGTGATTATAGCTTCAAGTTCAAGGCAAAAGCCAGCAAGACCAAGGAAAAGATGGATTGACAGATTCAAAGAGAACCTCCAAAGGAACAACATAAAGACAACACTCCAGGCCCACGCCAGATAATTGCATCTCCCCATGACACCTTGTGGTAGAAAAGGACCCGAAAATTTATTTGTAGAAAAGTAGGTATAGATTAGATACTAAAAGTACAGTTTTAAATAGCATTCACGACATGAGCAATATTATTTTAAAATATTTCCAAACAAAATCTTTTACGATTTTAGAGGGTGACAAATTTTTACTATATTATTACATGATATATGTAACAAAGGTCTCACTTTCAAGCATCTCTTAAAAAACTTACAATAGCATGAATGAGAGCAAAGTTACACATTATGGTTTGATAGTATAGAAACTGAAACAGCACCAGTTGCACTGTTGCGTGTAATTGTGTTGGGAATGAACAACAATATATTAAACTTCATTGTACCGCCTCCTCCCCCTCCCCCCGCCTCTCCCTCCTTCTCCCTCACTCTGTCTCTCCCCTCTCTCTCTCTCTCTCACCCCTATCTCTCTCTCTCTCTCTCTCTCTCTCTCTCTCTCTCCCTCCCTCCCTCACTACCTGTCTCTGTTCCCCTGCACTGTGTACTCACTCGTCATTGCCTACGTCACACCAACATTTCCTACATTCCCCTCCAGGCCTGAGACGCGTAACGTCCGCTGACAAGACCACGTCCGCAATGATCTGACCACACCAGAGATTGACCACAACGGACCATCATCCTCTCCCCTCCCCCCTCTCTCTCTCTTTTTTCTTCTCTTTCTCTCTCTCTCTCTCTCTCTCTCTCTC